ATGGCTTTCATTGTGCAAATGGGCAGGATAATCAGTGTCGTCCTGTAGATGCTTTGGGTGAGTAGGATGCGAGAGTAGATGTGGATTTGTGGCAGAAGCCGTGTGTGGAAGTCCTCTTGTGTTGAAAAGATCTTGTAAAAGCCTAAAATGGAAGCATCAGATGGTCGTGTGTGCGACTGTGTATATGGCTCATACGTTCTGTCCTAACTTACGAAGTGATGTCCTCCGCAATGGAATATGAAATTTTTATTTGATTTTGTTCTGATGGAAAGGCATGTGAAGCGATGCAGGGATTGCTCTCTATGCTTAATCCTGATCTGGTGGGTAGGGAAGAAAAAAACCCAAGTATCCCTCAAAGCCAGATATGCATGCTGGGTTATAGTGCCCCTCCCCCCACTTTAAAAAGATTTTATTTTTAAATAATCTCTACACCCAATTTGGGGCTTGAACTCACAACCCAAAATCAGCAGTTGTATGCTCTACCGACTGGGCCAGTCAGACACCCCATGTGTGCCCTCTTTAATAGCATGATTATTGCAGAGTCTCATTTCTGGGTGTTTTGATGAGCTAGGCCAAGAAAAGGCAGAATACCTACTAAAAGGTAGAACAACTTTTCTGGGGAAAATTTTTACCCATATTTATAGAGACCATTAAAAGAGAAAATACAGTGTTGTGGGGGTGCATACCCTTGTGTGTGTTGATGTGCTTGTTAACGTTGTTAAGTGACTTGATTGGAGATATGTTCAAATTAGCAAAAATGAGCACCTCTCCCACTTTCATGGAAGGGCTCGCTGCTAGATCTAGGTCAAGAAGGGAGGGAAAAATGAAACAAGATGAAACCAGAGAGGGAGACAAACCATAAGAGACTCTTAATCTCAGGAAACAAACTGAGGGTTGCTCGAGTAGGGGGTGTGTGGGAGGAATGGGGTGGCTGGGTGTTGGATGCTGGGGAGGGTATGGGCTATGGTGAGTGCCGGGAATTGCGTAAGGCTGATGATGCACAGACCTGTACCCCTGAAGCAAATAGTACATTATATGTTAATTTAAAAAAATAAAATAAATGGGATGTAATTTTTTTAAAAAGAGTTATTTATGCCCTGTGCTATGAAAAGAGGTTAGCCAACTGGGTTTGCAGAGAATCTACTAGCAGAAAAGTCTGCTTTCTCTCATTCAGATATATAGAATTGTGAAGTCTTTCAGACTCCTCATGTGGCCTTAGGAAACCACCATTTTACAGAATTTGAGAACAGCTTTTTTTTTCTTTGTACCAAATTTTTTTTTTCATATTCATTGTGAGTAGATTGTTAAAATGTCCGTTTCAAATCCTGAGAATGTTGTATAGCTCTATAAAAATAGAAGAACAACATGATATTTGGCTTGTACATTTATTAAGAATAGTTCATTTGTCTCCATGATAGAACTCTTTCGGTGGAACAAAGAAGCTGAATTTTTTGCTCAGTAGAGGTTTTCAGTCCATATACTTCTTGTTGGGGGGCTAAATCCATCGTTAGTACAGAATCATACATCAGTTGACTACTTTTATCTTCTACCTACAGTATTTGACTGACACAGACATTCTCTTCTATAGAGCTCTGCCTTCTCTCTGACTTGGCTGTATTTATATAGTAATATCACAGGGTGAACATTAAGTTCATGGGTGAAACTTATCTGGGAGGGATGGCCAGTCAATTGAAAGATGGCACAGAGTTTCAAAATGGGTCTCCACTAATCGAAGCAGTATTCAGAAACTCAGAATTAGATTAAATGGATAAAAGTTGGGTGAAGTCAAAGCCATCATAAGGCATTTTTAGCCAGTGGGCAGTAGAAGCTAATTCCCCTGGATTTAGGGCAGTCGTGACAAAGAAAATAGTGACAAACCCAAACTGGGTGGCCGAGGGCTGGGCCGAACCCTTGCCTTGCCTATTACTGGCCGTGGCATCTTTGCCTGAGGACTCGCCCCTCCAAGGCCTCTTCTTCTATGTGAAATGAGGATAAAGACCTCTATCTCACGGGTTTTTGAAAGGATGAAATGACAATATGTTTCCAAGTTCTTGGCAAAGCGTAAAGGGTTGCACACAGATTTCTTTTGATTTCCTTGATAAGAGAGGACATTCAGGAGGTGGAGACCATAGTTTCTCCTGTTGGTATTAGAGACTGCTCTTGGGGTGTGTGTGTGTGTGTATGTGTGCATGTTCTGGGGATGGGTGGCTAGTACTGTATTTATTCAGACTTTGGGGGAGAATCAGGCTCTGTCATTTCTTCATCTCAGTTGGCCTCCGGGAGAGTGTCAAGACAGTGAGCTGGTGACCAGCAAGCTCTTAAGGGACTAGCAAGCACTTCACAAATAAGGTTTATACAGAAAGGGCCTCTGTCATGTTAGTGAGCTTCCCCCGCTTCCCTTGTGGCATTTGTACCAGTCAGAGTCCCAGTGGGAAACCTGTGGCACACTCCAGCTGGGTGGCTGAGGGGAGTTCTAGAAGGGGACGAGGTCACTAGTGGCTGGCCCTAGCCCAGCAAGAGGAGAGAGCAGTCACACAGGAACCCAGAGAGGGTAGCTGTATGGGGCAGGGGGCACCCAGTGGGAGCTGTGGCCTCTAAAGGAGATACAGTCTCTCTCTAGGGAGTGAGCCGCGGGGAGAATGACTCTTCCTCATTTTCCTGCTCTCTGGTCTCCTCCTCATGTCTTCTATGTACTAAACCCAAGACAAAGATGAGGACAAGGGAGCTGTTGATGTCAACACCTTAGGGACCAGCCTCCTGGGGCACTGAGCAAGGCAAGAGAATGGAGAGGGAGGATCCCTTGGTGTGTCTGGGGCAATAGGAACAAATCTTACTTTGGAGATGATGTTTGGATTCTTTTTTCTTTCCCCTTTCCTTGCTCCCCTTCCTTCATTGGTCATTCATTCATCATTAGCGCGATGCCCAGGTGACTAGATCCAAAAAGATACCAAGCATTGACTGCTGTTGCCTGGCAGGACTGCACTGATATGTAAGCCATAAAACCATAATTTTTATGTTTTAGATTTTATACTCACCCAAATGAGGACATAAAAGCTGCTCTGCCAGGCAGGTGGAAGAGGCTGTAACGCCTGCTTCTCTTTCCTTTGCTTCTTGTGCCATTAGCCTCACATATGAAGATGTCTTCTGGTTTTTGTTGTGGAAAAACCTAGCAAGGATTCTGATTTGATGATTGTGTCTGTGGTGGGACCCTCCGAGCAGACCATCGCCCCTGGGATAGGGGGCGAATCCAGAAATCCAGAAGCAATCTGGATTTCTTTTTTCCTTGCATACTTTGAAATGCTTGGGAGACTAAAGAGACCTGTTGTTTTCTATAAATTCTGCATCGACAATGAGAATCAGTTTCATAACTTTATTTCGACCAGAGGTGCTACTTTTTAGATACTTGGGGTTTTGTTGTTTTTTCTTCTTTTTCCTCCCTTATTCATGGTTGGGATTATCAAATAGTTCTTTTAAACTCTTGGGATGCAGCTCGTTAAAATGGGTTGATGGCATTCACATGGCGCTGTTAACTTTATAGTTCAAGGACTCCAGATCACTTATTAAGAGTCATATGAAAATGATAACGGAGCTGCTGACCCAGAACTGCGGAGCTAGAAAGCCTCTTCCTCTGTCACTGGGCAAGGCTTCTGTGTTTACCCGGACATCTGTAGTCATTTAAGCTTGCTTCTGTGAAAACTGTAATACTTATTTGAATTTTTCGTGATTGTTTATAAAGATGAAAATGAAATCTAATCCCCAGAAAAACAAAATGAAGTTAGGACAGATGCTGTATTCCTAGCTTTCAGTTTTCCCTTCCTTTTGTTTCTTAAGCACCTTGTAGGTTGGAAGTGGCAATAAGGGTACGCTGGCCTCCTGTGTATTTTATGCTTCCCTTTTTAATATCCAAATAGGTACTGTCAGTGTTTTTCTACACTGTTAGGGTTATGGATAACCATTTTCTACACCATTCGGTTTATTGATAAGAGAGATAGTTACTGTTTTGGAAATCTCAAGGAAGCCTGAAAGTGAGCAAAAAATGTTCAGAAATGAAGTGGCATACAGAAGAAGCCACCTCCATTTGGAAAAATGAAGGTTTTACATTAGTAGTTTTAGATCCATTGTGGAAGAAATAGGTTGTCACTCAGTGATAGGATCCCATCTTTGTCTTTTCTTACTCCATGGCCATTGGTAGCTTTGTTAGGGATTGACCTCAGGCTTATGGTAACAGAAAAAGGAGTGTTGAAAAGGGGAAAAATAAGAGTGTGGTAGAGAAAAATCTGGTCACAGTAAATTTGTGTATCATGCTATTAGTCAAGAATGGGCAGAAGGAAGGAGTGTCACTGTGACTTCTCTGAATTAGGCGATTCCTTGAAATAACTCAGCTGCATACAGTGCATACTGCTGTCCCCCAAATTCCTGCCTCTTTTCTGGGTGCTCTGTTCTCCATGTGTACGTGCCATCTTGAAGTGAAAGAAAATGTCAAGAAATTTCAAGGCATTTTTGTCCTACGGCTCTGCACAGCCTTTGTGTAAGTGCATTGTCCTTTCCAGATCCAAATCCTGCCTCCCAGCCTGGCCTCGTGGAAGGCTTTCAGATGTTCTCCTGAGAGGGGAGCTTTATCAAGTGTGTGTGCACTTCAAAAGATACGGATTTCATTGTTTCTTCTAAGATACATGGTTACAAATCACTATCCAAATTCTGTGCTGAGTGGCTTCCAAAGAGGCAACAGGTTGCGTGTGTGTGTGTGTGTGTGAGTGTACACGCGTGCGCACGTGCTTAAGCTCCATTCGCCTCCCAAGTGCGTTCTCGTCCTCCAGTGTGGCTGCGTGTTCTCTGCAGGTGGCATTGTCCCCGCCAGGGAGGGTGCCATCCTGTGATGCTCCTCCAGCTGTCCGCGTGAGGGTGCGACGTCCATGCCGCCGTGTCTAGCTTAGTTGTCCGGGCGACTGTGAGAAGGTGTCTTGGTCTGATGACCTCTTTTGCTGTGGTCCATCTTGCAGGGACGGGAGAGAGCGGCAAGAGTACGTTTATCAAGCAGATGAGAATCATCCACGGGTCGGGCTACTCTGATGAAGACAAAAGGGGCTTCACCAAGCTGGTGTATCAGAACATCTTCACGGCCATGCAGGCTATGATCAGAGCCATGGACACGCTCAAGATCCCCTACAAGTACGAGCATAATAAGGTAGGCCTGGCTCCTCCTGGGAACCGCGGGCAAAGCCATGCATGGTTCTGATGCTGTCTTCACACGGCTGGGTGGGACAGTGGGTTTTCAAAGCATACATTTTTCATCTCATCCTAAGTGGGACATTTAATGGTTCAGTATGTTCTTTGTCATTTTTTTTTTTCCCTTAAATCTTTAAAGTCCCATCTCTGCACAATTAGAGTTATGTTTGTAGTGATATTGGTGGAAGGCACATTTAGATGTTCGATGATAAATACACGGAGGTTTAGAATTCCAGGGGGTGCCCCATTACATTCAGAAGATGGGTTGTAAGTTCAGGACACATTGACCAAGGTGAGGGAATTCAAAGTAGAGGCATTGGCCTTGCTTTCCTCCCATTCTTTGTGCTTCCTTGAAGGGGGAAAAAAAAAAAGAACAAAAACAGCTTAAGAGCATTCTGTCCATTTTAATTTTGGATTTCGTGACTTCCTGTCAGTAGTACCACAGGCTTAATTTTATTTCAGAATAGGTCCATCTGTCACTTCCAATAACCTTTCAAACATGTTTCCCTGTAGTTGGGTGACAGTCATGCAAACTTCTAAAATCACTTGAAAAGGAAGGAGAAGTGAGGAGAAGGAAAAAAAAATCGAAATCCTCTCAGGGCATGTAGGTGTTGACCTTCTAGTAATCGGGTAAACCTCACCTTTTGTTGACGGAACACTGCATTTGCACCTACACTGGTTTGAGAGCCTCCCTTCAAGTCTTCCAGTCAGTGCTCTTGATAATTTATTCTTAAAAATGTTTCCATATACCAGGTCAGTATGTGACAGCAAGAAGCTGGCATGCTCACTGTGACTCATAATCTGAGAGTTAACTCCAAGTGAATCATGGGTAAAATAAAGCAATGCTGTGTATCTCCCCTTCTCGTACCATCTAGAAGCTTCTAAATGTACAGATCATCTTAAAATCAGGCATTTATTTTTCTTGGATGTTTCCTTGATATCACCTGGCTCTTTCTTATCTAACTGATACTCTGGCACTTAGTTTTCCGATGGTGATGGGAGATTGTCTCCCACCAGGAGCAGAGAGTCTCTCCACAAAGAAGCTTTCCCGTTTGTATCCGCAAGAGTGAGAATGATCTGGCCAGGTTCACAAGCCTGGGAATGTGGTGCCTGAACCAGTTGAGGCTGCCTGGAGAGCGAACAGTCTAAATTTAGAAGGATCAGGGTTGTCTCCCACCCCCCGGCCCCACCCCCTTCAAGAAATCTCAATGTAATGAGTTTCTGAAATAGTGGCATGCTTGTTTTCATTGCAGTTGGGAGAAGATTCTATGGAGGGAACTGTTTTTTAAGGCCCGCAACTTGTGCCGGTCTACAGTTATTTGATAATATCATGATCTGATGGGTTCTGGCTGAATTAACCACATGGGTGATACGATATACAGTTGACCCTTGCACAACGTGGGGATTAGGGGTGGCAACCCCCTGTGCAGGCAAAAATCTACGGGTAACTTTTGACTCCTCCAAGACTTAGCTAATAGCCTACTGTTGACCTGAAGCCTTACCAATAACATAAACAGTCGATTAACACGTATTTTGTGTGTTATACGTATTATACACGTATTGTTAAAAGAAAGCAAGCTAGAGAAAAGAAAACGTTGTTAAGGAAATCATAAGGAAGACAAAATACATTTATTGTACCGTACTGTATTTATCCAAAAAATCCATGTATCAGTGCACCTGCAGGGTTCAAACCTGTGTTTTTCAAGAGTCAGCTGTGTGTGTGTGTGTGTGTGTGTGTGTGTGTGTAATTGGCAATGTTTTATAGATACCTATAAAACACATATTGTCAGTTAACACTTTGTAATACAAGGCAATCTCCCTTAATCATGCACAGAAATCATCTTTCTGGGAAATGTTCCAGAAGAATAGTTCAGGGTCTTGCTTCGATGTTAGCTTCTCACATGAGGCCCATTGATTGTACCATTATACAGATGTGGAAGATGGAGTAAACTTATACCTTCTTCATGTAACACATTGAAGAATATATAACAACATGTGTTACTTGAGCTCTTTGTATCAGTTACAATTAAGTAGATGTTACTGTGATGAATACCATTCAGTTAAAAATCAACATGATAAAAAGTTACAATAATGTGATTCTTCTCCGATATCATAATTATCCTGTGGAAATCTTCTCACATCTCTTGGTTGCTTAATACACTCCCTAATATAGGGACACGAGGGTGTGTTAACCTCTGAGTTTCTCATTAGGTTTAATCTCCTTTAAATTATAATATAAATTACTTTCCCATTTGTTCCATTTTCTTTCTAATGTACACATATTCTGAAACATCACTCCTTGCTTCATCCATTAACGTCCCAAGCTCTGCCCACTCCTTGCCTTCCTTAACGCTTATTAAGGACATAATGTCTTCTTTCTCTTCCACCGAACTGCCACTTCCTCCTAGAGTTCTTCTCTGCACAAATCCTCCCCTGCTCCCACCCCATTGCACTAAGTAATCCCACCCTTCTGTAGCAGAAACCATAATGGGGTGTTTATAATTGCCTAACTTATATTCATTATGATGACTTGTGGGAGTTGGTCTTGTTTTTCCAGCTAGACTCAAAGCTTCTTGAAAGTAGATGATGTCACTTGCACATCAGCGTTTTTCAGCTTCCCAGCATCATACCTTGTACATAGTAGAGGCTCAAAAAATACTGTTTTATGAATGGGCAAGTCATTCATCCCCTTAGACAACTGAACGTCTCCTCTTCTGCCTCCAGGTTGTTGAAATGCTTAATCAGATCAACAGATCACTGTTGAAATGATTTTATGTGTGTAAGGGAATCAGTGCAGTGTGGTGTCAGAGGTGCAGAGAAGTTTCATGAGGACTGGGCAGAAATTGACAATCCAGAAAAATTCAAGGGCATTGCTAACGTGGGGGCACTTTGGGGCGGAGAAATGGCAGGAGTAGATGTTAAGAAAAAGGGGTGTGACTGTGTTGGCCAACTTACCTTGAGCAGAATTCTTATAGAGGAGAACTAGAAAATAAAATTTAAAAATGGTTTAGAATTTGTTTCTGAAAGGTTTTGAATCCAGGCTAAGAAGTTTGAATTTTATTTTCTTGTCTTTATGAGACCCATTTAGTAATAATATTTTTTGTTTCAGTTAGAATTTTCTATGAAAGTTTTTGGTTATAATATGTTCTCTATAAATAGTTTAAGGAATTTCGTGTGCATTTTATTAGCAATTACTTGAAAGCAGTGTACTGTGATTTATATGATTTTGTGACACTAAAGATGTAAAAAATGTAGTTTTTATAAAAGCTTCTTTGTGTCTACAGCCACATTGGTCATACTATATGGTAGTAGCATAAATAAAAACAAACACGTTCTAATATTTTTCTCCTAACTTTGTACTTGCTTCTGAGTTCATGTATTTTACAGAGCAAAATGTACATTAAAAATGGTATGGCCTGGAATACTATGCAGCCATCAAAAGAAATGAAATCTTGCCATTTGCGACAACGTGGATGGAACTAGAGGGTATCATGCTTAGCGAAATAAGTCAATCAGAGAAAGACAACTATCATATGATCTCCCTGATATGAGGGAGAGGAGATGCAACATGGGGGGTTAATGGGGTAGGAGAAGAGTAAATGAAACAAGTTGGGATTGGGAGGGAGACAAACCATAAGTGACTCTTAATCTCATAAAACAAACTGAGGGTTGCTGGGGGTAGGGGAGTTGGGAGAGGTGGGGTGGGGTTATGGACATTGGGTAGGGTATGTACTATGGTGAGTGCTGTGAAGTGTGTAAACCTGGAGATTCACAGACCTGTACCCCTGGGGAAAAAAAAATATATGTTTATAAAAAATAAAATTAAAAAAAAAATGGTATGGCCTGGGGGCACCTGGGTGGCTCAGTGGGTTAAGCCTCTGCCTTCAGGTCATGATCTCAGGGTCCTGGGATCGAGTCCCACTTGCGCTCTCTGCTCGGCAGGGAGCCTGTTTCCTCCTCTCTCTCTCTCTGCCTGCCTCTCTGCCTACTTTTGATCTCTCTCTGTCAAATAAATAAAATCTTAAAAAAAAAAACGGTATGGCCTGTTCTTAACTGGGAAATTGTTCACAGTTTCTTTTGCGGTGAAATTCGTTCTAGCAGTGGGAATACCAGACTAGAATATTGGAATTTTTTGCCTCCTGCGTAGTGTTACTGCACTGAATTGAGAGTGCCACTGGTTAGCTCTCAGAGGGCTGGTACTGTGGTCAGGAGGGAGTCCAGGCCACTGTCTCTGCCCTAGATGGTGGTGTGCCATCCCCTGCTTTTTTTGTAGACCTTACCTGCTGTTCCAAGGATTGGCTAGCTCAGGAATAGCTTGGGATAAATTACAAACTTTTACCAAAAGAAAGATCAAATTTCCCTTGGATGAGTATCCACTATCGCGTTCTTGAATTTTCTTTGGCAAGCTAGTAATGTTTATAGGTGAGCTGCTTGGACTCTGCCCAAGTGAGAGAATACATCTGGAGACTTCTTCTGAATGTACTGTGAACTAGGGTTGGTTTTCTCCTAAATACTACTTTGCCATTTCCTGAAACACAACTGTTGATACCTAATGTTAAAAGGGATGAAATGTTTGTCGCTTAGTCAAATCAAAAGATACATTTAATGCTCCACTAGGTACAAGGCATTTGACTGTGACATGCCTCTGTCATTTTTTACTCTCCAAAAGGGAGAATTTTCATCACCCTTATTTTATGGTTTCCCATCTTATGCAGACCTGTTCTTCTGATTATTGGTTGTTTGGGTGCTGAAATCAGCTCTTTATAAAAAGGAAGAGATAAAAAATTGGGGGGCCCACATGGCTAAGAACTGTCCTGGATTATAGAGTGGGGAGGAAACAGACAACGAGGCATTGACGCCCAATTTTCATGTACTTGTTATCTGTGGCTGGCGGTTGGCCTTCTTCCTGCTTCGCCTGTTGATCATTCCTGGGCAGGTGCCTTATTTTCTCAGACTGCG